TCCTATTTAAACTGTGTTTTCTTTAGTTCTACATATGGCTTCTTCATTTAAGGTAAAAACTTTTCAGCTTGTGCAAAAATTTCTAACGGCAAACAAAAGTATTAATATAATGCATAGCACTAAAGATATAAAAAATTGACCAGTGTGTTGTAACCACTGTGCTCTTCATCATGACCACTGTCTGCTGTGTGGTCCTCTGGGTCAGGTGTAAGGTTAGGTTTAGGAAAACGGTTACATAAGCTAAAAAAAGAAATAAAAAAATCCTGGATTACCCGCGTGCGACGCTGCACATAACCTACTAGGAGGTAGGTGGGACAGTCTGAATGCTAACTATTGGGATGATAACAACTAATAACGGACCATTTAATGGGCTGATAACATCTGAAGCCACAAGTCTGCTGTGGCTTGCACTCCTGTTCTGTTACACTGATTGGCTGATCAGTAGGACAGCCATTCACCAACCAATAAGTGAGCCCATTTGTCTTCAAACAACCAGTTATGACAATCTAATGAATTGGAGGGAGAGAAAATGTACAATCCTTGCACCTGATTCAGAAAATTTGCTGTACATCTGTATGATTATCACAACAGGAGACATAAAAATACTTTTAATCCTGCAGCATACAAAAAGAAAGTCATGACATACTTTTGCGCCTCAAGGAGCAAAAGCAGCAAAAAACTTTCATTATAAAGTATTTCACTAACCTACGTGCCACAATAAGAAAGGATTCAGTGATATTCAATGAGCTGGTTGTGAAGTAGCAATTTAACAGGCAAGTATAACAGGAAGTAAGACAAAATGTATTATAGGAAATGGCAGGATGTCGGGAAAGAGTCTAACTCAATCATACGAGAACATAAAAATAAAATAAAATGGCAGAGGTAATTTAATAACACTTTGTTTTGAGGAGGCTTTGTGCTCTCTGTGAACTGGTCAGAAGCTCAGTTCCCAAACTGTCTTTCTGCCTGAGCAAGCATACAAAAGCTCAAAGCTTACATTATTCATCCAGTCCTTCATGTACATCTTAACTCTCAGAGCAGCACCTGAAAGAATGCTGCAGGTGTACTACAAAATCTTATTTTTTCCTATGTTTAGTATGACAGATGTATCATTTTTACTCATTTTATTTGGTTTCTTTACATAAAAAATGAACCAGATGATATGTCAAAGCAAGAGTAGCCTCCTTTTGTAATGACACTTTATTTGCAACCCTTTAATGTAAAACTAAAATTTATAAATCTTCAACAAGACATGGGATGACAGAAAATATTCACTGTACTAGTACACTTTGATGAAATATAAATATTTATATGACTATAAAATGAAAAAGGGAAAAGCAATGTAATCTCACAGAATTGATTTGATGGATGAGACAGATGTTTTGAATAAAAAAGTATTGAAAAAATGAAATGAAACACATCTTTTGATGTGTGTTGGTTCAAATGTAATTTTTTTTTTCAGCTGTCAATATTTGTGGAAGCAATTTTCAAAAACCCTTTTCAAGCAGTGCATTTCTGAGAAGAAAATAAGTCCAATGAGATTATTTTGTTTCATTTTACTCTTGCCTTTGTTTAAAAAAACTATAAATGCATTCATTTGAAATATATTTTGCATTAATACTTTAATTCAAATCAGTTTATTCATATAGCGCCAAGTCACAACATAAATCATCTCAGGGCACTGTATGAAACATTTATGTATATAAAAAGTAAGTTAATACTATTTATCTGAGGAGCAGACTGCTTTGAGTCTAACTTCATCGCAGACTCTCATCTTGAGCAAGCATGAAGGTGACAGTGGAAAGGAAAAACTTCCTCATGAGGAAGACACCTTTAGCAGAACCAGGTTCAGGACAAGTGGTTATCTGCTTTGACCGGCTGGGTTTGAAAGAATAGGAAGGAGGAACAGATACACAAGTTCAGGTCAAGAATCACATGTTAACATAGAATTAATACCAAATCAAAACTATTCAATTGTAACAATTCATTTAAAGAAATGAAGTCAATTTGTCCTCTAGTAGTTTAATCTTAAGGCAGCATAACTAGCCAACCCTAATTATAGGATTTATAAAAAAGGAAAGTCTTGAGCCCAGTCTTCAAACTGGACGTGTCAACCTCACGGAAACTGGAAGTTGGTTCCACAAGAGAGGAGGAGCCTGATAACTGGAAGAGCTTCCTCCCATTCTGCTTTTGGGAACTCTAGGAGCCACAAGTAAACCTACAGTCTGAGAGCGAAGTGCTCTGTTAGGAAAATATGGAACAATAAGATATCTAGTATAAGATGGTGCTAGGTTGTTGAGAGCTTTGTAGGTTAGAAGTACGATTTTGAATTAATTTCTGAATTTGACAGGGAGCCAATGGAGAGAAGCTAAAACTGGAGAGATATGGTCTCTCCTAACTCCAGCTAAGATTCTGGCAGCAGCATTTTGGATCAACTGAAGACTTTTTAAAGAAGTATTTGGACACACAGATAGTAAACCATTGCAATAGTGCAATCTAGACATGATTAACCTGTTTTACTGCATCATCTTTAGATAAGATGTTTCTAATTTTAGCGATATTATGCAGGTGGAAGAAGGTGGTTCTAGTAACGTTTTTAATGTGGGGGATAAAAGACGTCCTGATCAAAAATAACACCAAGATTTTTAACATTAGAGCTGGAGGCCAGATTAATGTCATCCAAGGAGGGCAAAAGACTGAAAAATGTATTCCTAAGATGCTCAGGTCCAAAAACTGAAACCTCAGTCTTGTATGAGTTTAAAAGCAGAAAATTAAGGGTCATTCAGGTTTTTATGTGTTTAAGACATGTTTGTAGTCTAAGTAGCTGATTGGATTCAATGGGTTTCATGGACTGGTTTCATAATTGTGTATCATCAGCATAACAATAAAAAATGATCCTATATTGTTCAATAACATTATCTAATGGAAGCATATATAAGGTAAAGGGTATTGGCCCAAGCACTTTAATAGCTCAGAATGTATTAACACAACATGATTACCTGATTGCAAATACTAAATTGTAGTTTTTCACTAACAGTCCAAGCAAAAATAACCGAAAGCTAGAAACAGGCTTTGATGCCTTGGCAACAAGACAGTAGGTTCAAGATGACTGAACCATGCCAAACAATTGCTCACAATGTGTCCAGATTTCTTCAACTCATGCATCTTCCTTCAGTTGTTATAAGCAACAGAATATGAAATAAATAATTTCTGAGTTTTGTGCTGGTGATGCTAAATTTTGCAGAAGAAAAGACGAGAACACTTGAAGTCATGTCATCACCAAACAATGAGCAGAAATCTCACCTCAAGACGAACTGATGGAAACATGTGGTCAAAAAAATGAAAAATACTATAGCTCGAGTGAGAATCTGTCACTAAATTTAGGACTTTTATAAAACTTCTTCATAAATGTGTAAATAACAATATATTTCAAAGTAAAAAATGGTGCAATAAAAGGGTTTATAAAATAGTGTTCATTTTCATTTTCATTTAGTCTTTATTTATCCAGGTAGTTTCATTGAGCCACGAGAACTCATTTTCAAGAGAGACCTGATCAAATGAACTATAGTGAAAAATTGGAGATGGATGCTGTTCAAAGATGTTTAAAAATGGCTGCCTTCTATTTTGGTCTCAGCTGTAGTTGAACTAGCTGTTAGCTCAGTCCTGTCAAACATAAACTCTGTTTCTCCAACTTGAAGCCATTTATGACAATATGAGTAGCATTTTGTCTATCAGGCAGTGTAATAAGACATGACAATATCGGTGAACCTAAACAAAGATGCAGTGAAGTCTTGGTTGAGGCCTTGACCCAGTACATCCTCTCTGATTGAGTGTACGAGTGACAAGTAAATGCTGTCATGGCACAGGGGATAAGAATAGTATAAAAGCTGTGTGAAAACGAAGGGTTCTTTTGTGGATTCTGATGCTGTTTGGCTGATTTACACTTCCTTCACCTTTTCAATACACCCTGATTTTTTTTTTAATGTCAGTAAGAGATTCAGTATCCTATGTTTTTTTAATGAAAGATCAAGTCTTTGCATGTTGTTTGACTACAACACCAAGTGTTAGTTTTTAATTATTTGCAACTTAACGAGAGCAGAAGGCTTTTTTTTCTTCAAAAATGACATCACTCAGATCGTAGAGACTTTGCAGGGCTTAGATATTACTTTGAAATGACAGGGGTACAGTTTGTACTGAGATGCTAATAATCCACATATCACCCAGTGGAAAAGAAAATTACTAATAATTTTTTTTTCTGAATAATTGGTGTTGCACTCAAATTGATTGCCTGTGTGATTAAACTTGATATAAGCAAAAGCAATATCATATCACTCTAATTAATTTAGTGAGCAAGCTCATTTATTTAGTCCTTGACCACAAGCTCCTAATTTGGGCAAACTGATGCCACAGCTGCACAATAAAAAAGAAACGAGACATTGCAATGCAGAGTATAAAATACATGGATATGCATTTTTTTATTTAACAGGTTGAGTAATTTGCAAAATAGGCATTTAAAAGGTAAGAGCACAAATGTGTTCTCACTGCCATTGATGTGTTTCATCTACTCATTATGGATGAAAAGTGGGGATGCAACTCAAATTTCACAGGGAAACTTGTCTGATTAAATGTTTGCTAATGTGATGCGAAAAAGAGCTAGAGTTTTATGTGCGTTAATTAGATAAATAGCAAAGTTTGGAAGGTGCGGAGGCCCATTAATGTTGGAGATGGTATTTTTAGCCTTTTACCCTCTGCCTACGCACATCAACATGCGGTGATAAGCAAGATGACTTCAATTATTTTTCCGTATGCTCACACATCAGATACTTGCACATCTCCCTGATTACTGATCATCTGAACAGCTCATCAGTGACTGTGAAAAACAATGGCAGTGCAATCTACACTGCAGGTCAACAAAAGGAGATGAACAATTCTGAGAAGTGTGACTCATAAAGAGAAGTAATCGCCTTATTAAAACTGTTGCAAGAGAAGAGTATAATCACCTCGGCCATGGGTGTGATTGTGTTCGTCTTGCGGGTGCCAATCCGAAACTTGGCAGCCTTGTAGATCTTCCAGTACACAAAGAGAACCACGCAAAGTGGGAGGTAAAATGCTCCAAAGGTGGAGAAGATGGTGTAGGATGGTTCCTGGCTCACCTGGCACTTCATCCCTTCTGAGTATATCTCCCCCCATCCAAACAGCGGTGACAAGGAGATGATAGAGGACAGTAACCAGGTGAGTGCAATCATCACATTGGAGATCTTTTTGCGAGTCTTGAGCGTGTACTGCAGGTGCCTGGTGATGGACCAGTAGCGGTCCAGGGCGATGGCCGTCACGTTCCAGATGCTGGCCGTGCAGCAGAGTACGTCGAAGGAGATCCACATCTGGCACAGCACGCGGCCCAACTTCCACAGCCTGCCGTTCAGCTCATGTACAAGACTCAGCGGCATCACCAAAGCGGCCACCATCACGTCTGAGATGGCCATGGAGGCCACCAAGTTGTGGGGCACCCGATGGAACGTCCTCACCCGTAGGATGGTCACCAGCACCAGCAAGTTCCACACGAAGGTGGCCACCACCAGCATCGCCAGTAACGTAAGCGTTAGCACACTGAAAACAGAGAAGGGTCGGTAGATGTTTCCCCCATAGTCGAAGCCATCCGGAACCCCGCTAAAGTTGGCTGTCAGTGTGCTAGTGTTGGTGTACGTCATGGTGGCTGCTCACGACCACCACAGTGGAATCCAAGAGGATTCAGAAACAGTGTTTGCAGACAGATGATGCATTCTGCAAAAAGGGGAGGGAAATAAGACAATAATTTAGTTCCATGTATCTTTAAAAAAATCCAAATTAAAGATTTGATATAAAATTATCATCATATTGTGTCTTTTTCTGCTTGTTTTACACCAATTTTCAAAAGTACCACTATTCATCATTGTGTCAGTGACAAAAGAGGGTAGTTTAGTGATTTGCTCACTAAGGTAAAAAGCACTTGAGCCTCTCATTCCAGCAGTAGAGCAACCTGCCTACAACTTTCAAGAGCAATTTCATCTGCTGTTAAAAGGACTCACAAGTACCCGGGAACATCTCTGGCTCAGGAAGAGACCATAAATATTCAGTTTCATCATTGCACTGCTGCGCTTTGATTAGCATTCAAATCAGACATGTGAAACAAAATGCACAGTTTTCGTTTGTTTTAGGCTCATTTTGGAAGATAAATTTCTCAGCCAATGAAGTCAATCTCATATGCTGCACATTTTACAGAATGCAAAGGAAAACGCAGCTTATTTCTTTGAAGAAAACTGTCCGTTTTAGACATATTCAGTCTTAACATACTGTGGGACTGCCCCTGTTTCAAGCCAAGCAAAGAAAAGATGTGACATGCCAACCGTATCAACACATTCACAGGAGATGCTCAGAGAGCTCCAAAGACTGCACAGCATGATGCTCAACACCGTAAAAACAATGAATTTCAAATCAGCGCGAGCTGCGGCTGCTGTCTGACAGCTGAAGGTTTGTTAGTTCAGCATTGATCTTTTCACATTGTGTCTGTTGTAAACCACTTATTCAGAGCAGGAAAAGAGTGGTGGAGGAGATAATCAAAAAATTATATTCATAACTAATGAAACAAAAAGTCTGCAAAATTGTGTGGCTAACTTCGGAAAGCAAATACATGTTTTGTCTGTTATGTCTATAAAATGCAGTCAGAAGTACCTGACTGAACAAGCTCAGTGGAGAATGATTTAAAAATATAATCTTGCCCTAACACTTTATTCATGCCACCTGTTTTTAAATATTCCTGCTTCAATACCCCATGGTTTATTTAAAAGCACTTTTTCGCTTGACCTGAACCTCCACAACTGACATCTGCATAATTAATAATTTGCATTCTTAAATAAAATTATGATTTTTATTTTTTACATGTTTTTGGGTGACATTGAGATGACTAAAAGGTCTCAAGCCCAGTTCAGGATGAAAGAAATAAATGCCTAAAACAGAGATTATCAGCTGGTGACCTGCTGGCCACATTTGGCCTGGGAGTTCTCTTCATTTGGGCCACAACGTATAAAATATTAATAAGTCAAGATACACTGGCACAGCAAGAAAACATGCAGCTGAGTCTGTGAGCCCGTTGTTGGTTCTTTATCTTAGTGGGATAAGAAATGTGCTGTGACATAGAAGGTTGGGATTCAAACCAAACCCCTGCTGTTCCTTTTTATTTCAATTTAGATACTTTCTGTCAAGTTGGTTTGCAATTGGAGCATACGTCAGCTGACTTGTTCTTAAAGTGAAAGTTAAACAAACCCTTTTTTATTTTAACCACATAATTTGTGACTTTCTCTCAGGCAGTGCTTTCTAACTCAAAACTGTCAAGTTAGTTAATTTATCTTATTTCATCATGGTGTATGTAAGTTATCTTTTTTTTTTTTTTACTTTTTCAACATGTTTACTATTTTTGTTCATCAATGATTATCCACAGGGTGTCCACAAAATATTCAATTATTAACAAACCAAATGCAATCAAACACATTAATCAATGCACGTGTTCAGCATTTGATTCTGGGGGAGTGGTGGCGCAGATGTTAGAAGATGGGCTGTGATCGGAAAGTCGCAGGTTCACCTCCCTGTACCATCAAAATGTGGATGGAAAAGGTGAAACACCCACACCTCCCTCCACCCTCATTCGCCCCACCCTGGCCCCCTGAGCAAGGCCCTTAACCCCCATCATCTGCTCCCTAAAACAGGTCTCTCTTGAAAATGAGTTCTCGTGGCTCAATGAGACTACCTGGATAAATAAAGGGTTAAAAATAAAAAAAATTAATGATTAGACCATACATCATTTTGCAACAAAATAAAGCACTTTGGATTCTCAGCCTAATATGATTAAAAAAACATGAGTATACAGAAAATTATGGTTCATGTCCAGGCTTAGGTTAATGTTTATTTATTTATGGTCAATTCTGTCTTTCTCTGATTGAAACAATTTCTCTGAAGTTGTTTTGCAGTTTATCTTGTTGGCAGTTGCTGATTTATTTCACTTTAGCTGTTAAACTTTTTTTTTTTTTCCATGTTTGTGCTTCCTGTAGCAACCCTCAAGTAAAACAAATCAGTTTGGTGCTTTCCTCCAGGCATTAATGATGTTTACCACAAAACTCCCAGGTTATTATTATTTTTATCATATTTTGTCTTTATTATAGCTGGGGTAGCTTGCCGGTAACTGCCCTGGTCTTGTGATCCCGAGGGTGTGAGCCCATGGTTGCATCAGGAAGGGCATTCAGTGTACAAACAATAAGCAAATCTTTCATACTAACTTGCTTGTTGCAGTAAACCTTGCAGAAGGGAGCAGTCAAAAGAAAAAAAAATGTCTATATCACAATTTTTTTTATGCTTTTGTACAATGATCCACATAGTCACAACTAAATATTTCTAGCAGCGGGAATAGAATGTACTAAAACAAGCAGGTCTGAATCGTTCATTCAACCTTTATTTATACAAGTTAGTCCCATTGAGCCTCAGAGACTCATTTACAAGAGACCTGATTTTAACAAAGAATGATGACAACAGTGGACAATCATAAAATAAAATTAAAAAAATTGAGAAGAACAAATGAAAGAAAATGGCATTAAAAAAACGAAACAAAAACAGCTAGGTTGTAGGGTGATGTAGGATATTAAAACAGGAACATGTCTGCAATGGTTTTTGCCAGGAACTTAGCAGATGTTTAAAGCCACTTAGAGAGGTCAAGGTCGAGAGCTTCAGATCTTTTTGCAAGATTTTTCAGGAAACAGGAGCGGAGTAGGAGAAGACCCTTTGCCTAGTTCAGTCCTCACTGAGGGAACACTGCAGGTAATAATGCCCTGAGAGCGCACGCTGTAGCTGCACTCAAGCAGTGACATGTAGTCAGAGAGTCAGAGATTCTTTATTGTCGTTCGCACCACATGCGGTATATGTGGTGGGACAAAATTATGTACACAGGGTCCCAGTTACATCCAACAGTAAATGTAAAAGAAAAACAATGATAACATCTCAGATATGAACTAAGAAAAACATCAACTAAAAATACACTAAGCACTAATAGCATAAAAAATTATGTCCAACAGCAGCACGAACATGAGCATGAGTCTGTGTGAGCAGATGAGCACGCATGAACACATCAACATGAAACAGATCAGCAGCAACATGATGTGATTTTTCACAGTGATTATTCTGGTTAGAGATTCATGAGTCTAACAGCCTCAGGGTAGAAGCTGTTCCTCAGTCTAGTGGTTCTACACTTAATGCTCCTCAACCTCCTTCCTGAGGGGAGCGGGGCAAAAAGTGTGTGTGCTGGGTGAGTGGGGTCCATCATGATGCAGGTGGCCCTCTTCCTGCATCTGGAGGTGTAGATGTCTGTGATGGTGGGGAGACTGACTCCAACAGACTTCTGTGCAGACTTCACCACTCTCTGCAAAGCTTTTCTTTCTGCAGCTGTGCAGCCTCCATGCCACACGTAGGAGGAGATATATGAAGGCAACAGACCAAGAAATGATTTAAATATGAAAATGTACCAGTGAAGAGTGAAGTTAATGATGACCAGTTAACCAGTGAATACAGGGTGCAGTCATGGGTATGGTAGTTACAGCCAGTTATGAATCTTAGCGCACCATGATAGACAGCATCCAACATCCGCAGAGTGCTTGTAGGAGCATTCATGTAAATAATGTCATAGTCAATGGACGGAAGGAAAGTCGCAGTTACAAGGTGTTTCCTAGCATTCAGATTTAGACAGGATCTATTTCTGAAAAAGAAACTCAATTTAACTTTTAGTTTCCTTACCAAGTTTTCAACATGTAGCTTAAAAGAGAGATGCAAATCGACCAAAATATCCAACTCAATAGGGGCACCATTCGAAGATAAAATCTAAGGAAGAACCTCTGGGACCGACTTCTTGTTTTAAAACAGCATCCCTTTGGTTTTGTCGGTGCTAAGGACAAGTTTGAGATGGAACAAATCTGACTGGATGATGCTGAAAGCGGATTGCAAAAAATGGAAAAGTTTAGCACCTGTTTTAGCTCGACAATAAACAAATGTATCATCAGCATAGAAATGCAGTGATGCATCTGGGATGATCTGACCTACATTACCTATATAGAATGTAAAGAGGGTGTGTCCTAAGACTGAGCCTTGTGGTACACCATTGTTGACCATTAAATAACTAGAGGAAGAAATCACCAGAAGGATAGCTGATCTTGGAGCAGTCTGATTAGAAGACTTCTGGACCTTAAGCAGATGTTGCTGCTGACCTCTGGTCTGAACCTTTAACCTGATCTAATGAATAAAAATGAATCGGTAAAAACTTCATATATTTCACAGGAGATGCTCTGCATGAACTGCAGTATATGTTTAAATAAATCTAAGCTCCTGGCAAAGTTTTTTTTTTAATTTATCTTACCAATAGAAGGGTCAGCTAGATTTGTTTAGAATCATTCACAGCATCTGTAGATGCTGATATGTACCAGCAACATGAAGCATGTCTCCATCAGCTGCTCTGAGCACAGTATGTGACAGAATCTCCTCACATCGCATTATGTGCCCTCTAATCAAAGGCAAACACCAATACCCTCCCTTCATCCTACTCTTCTTCTTCTTTATTCTTGCTCCATCCACTCTCTTTAACAAGCCCAATAACAAGCCGGAAAATCAAACAATTGCTGTCAAGGGAGGAGGCAATAAAACGTGCAGGATTCAGAAAAGCAATCTTGCGATCACTCTGCTGACATTACAGGTCAGGTGTTCTGACAGGTCGCTTCTACTCACTCTGCACAAGGCAAACTCGAGAAGAAAGACCCATGCAAATGTTTAAATTCATATGTGAGAGGAAAGAATAAATACAAATGCTGGACGGATAGACACTGACATTCTCAGGTGTCAAAAGATAATAACTGAATAGATTGCTTCATACTTGCAAGAACCAGCTGGGATTTTAGCTCTGTAAATGGATTGTGACTGGGATCTTATTAACAATAAGGAGGTGTCCACTTTTACATTTTAGCAGGAGGAGAGATGTGTCAAAAGGTGTAACAGTGAGGAAAAATCTCAATCCCGCAGAAGAGACTTGACTTCATTTTAATCTAAAAACGAGCAAACCAATTGGAGCGTCTCACAATATTCCAAGCAAGCCACGCACAACAGCTTTATAAACACAAGCTCACATAGTTGCCTTTTTATTCTTTTGTTGTTTTTCTTTTGGAATCCAGATGTAATATTCCCCATAGGAGGAAAAATAAATACATTTGCCCTCACTTTAAATCTTTTGTTCCCACTTCCTCTGCCTATAATTTCTGGCTTTTCAGCTTTTTCCTCCTGCAGATAACGTCGACTTTCGCTCAGGGCGTTTTTTTTAAGCTGAAGCTCTCAGGTAATATTGACATCTCATTTTCATTTCATATCTGTGTCCAAACAGAATGTCACAGCCAGCCTTTATGATTAAAACCACTGGCTGTGTGAACGACAAGCTCTCTGCGCAGAGCTCTTCATTATGAAACTGTTGTCTGCTCAGTTGTTGCACAATTTTCTCCGGAGGAGAGTTTCTCTGAGGCTGACATTTGCTGATGAAAAGTGAGGTGGGGGGGCGGGGTATGCACATGTGTCCTCTGACTTGTGGGAGAATCTCAAAGCAGCATGAAGAAGATGAAAGAAATCTTTTGATTAAAGAGTAAATCACTTGTGTACTCTTCAGTTTTATCAGTAGAGCAAATTTAACATATTTTTTTCTTCTCTCAGCCAAAAATGTTCACAACTCAGTGATATTAATTCCTAGAGTGAATTAATTAAAAGTAAGAAATTTAACAAAAGTACCACTTTCTTTGAGCACACGCATCATAACCAATACAAACACTTGTTACGCAGCATCTGAGAATCAAAGCAACCTGACTTTTGGACCTTATGAGTCCAATAAAATATCTGATTATTTTGTCGTGCATCCTGTAAAAACATGAACTCACCCCATGAGCAGCTAAAGCAGTCCTGCTGGTTTCTGCTCCATCTGCGAGCTCTCTTTCGATATTCGCTCAGCAGAGCGCAGTGACTGAAGCGCTCGGCTCAGTGAGGATGACAACAGAAACGCACCTCAATCTGAGGAATCAGAGCTGCTGGAATGAACCACACGGAGCTCTGAACAGAGGGGAGGGCTGGCTCCAATTAAATAAGAAACCATGCCTTTTCAGGACTGTGTGGGGAGACTCGTGCACATCTTTTGGAGTGGGCTGTATGTCAACACTAAATCTGTTGTCAGAAAGATTTTTTTTTGTGTGTGTGGAGGAAGACTGTATCTGTGTTTTAACAGTGCTGCTCAGACAAGATCCCCTCTTTCTAATTAGTCTTACTACACAATGATGAGGAGCTGCTTAAGGTGTACAGATCGAGCCACTTTATGATTAATGATCCTTCCATGCCACCACCCATGAAGCTCCCATGGCATTTCCCTCCCCTCCATCTCCCCCTTATGAATCACAGAAAAGTAATTCAAATCCAATTTATGTCCTTTGTGCAAATTGGAATCGAGTTTCTCTCGGTGAAGCTCTGGAAAATCCAAAGGGACTCTTTTCTTAGTCCCGTGAAAATGATAAAAAAAGAAACTCCTTTTGTGATCATCCTAAAGACTTCAGTTTTTATGGGGTGAAGTTCTGTTAAAAGGTTGTGAGCAATTACTATCTTAGATAGCTTTTTGATCAAATAGTTTTGAGAGTAATTTAGTTCTGTCCAGATTAATGGGCAAGTTCTCATTAAATTTTTCAAAAATTGTCTGCAGTGGGGATAAACATTTGACCAGATGCTGCCATGTTACATCTTTGTTGATCTCACTGCTTTGATATCCTGTTATATACAGAACTCGGTTCAACATTCTGGTCTATACCTTTAAGGCTTTACATGGTGATAAACTTTTATACATTTACAAACCTTTACCACTAGAATCCAGTTGTCAGCTTATCAAAGACTGTTATCTGTCCCTAAATCCAGGATAAAGACACAGAGTCTTTTCATCTACTTCATGTAAATGCAGTCAGTTTATTTGAGAAACAGCTGAATACTGATTTATACTAACATTTGGGTAGCATTTTATTGTATGTGTTATTTTGGTGTGAAACAACTTATGATTTTTTTTTTGAAAAACATAAAATAAATTAAAATTTTACTTACTTACTTACATACTTACTTACTTGTACTTACTTACTTATGTACTTATCGGTACTTACTTACTTATTTATTTACTTACATGCTTAATTACCTGTAAATGCTTATTTATTTAATTTCTTACTTGTACTTACTTACTTAATTGTACTTACTTATTTACGGTACTTACTTACTTACTTACACACTTAATTACCTGTACTTACTTACTTGTACTTGCTTACTTTCTTGTACTTGCTAACTTTCTTGTACTTACTTACTTACTTACCAGTACTTACTTACGTACTTACTTGTACTTACTTACTTGTACTTACTTACTTACTTGTACTTACTTAATTACCAGTACCTACTTACTTACTTACTTACTTACTTACTTACCTGTACTTACTTACTCACTTACTTACATACTTACTTACTTACTCACTTACTTACTTACTTACTTGTACTAACTTACTGGTACTTACTTACTTACTTACTTACTTAGTTACTTAGTTACCTGTACTTACGTACTTACTTACTTACTTACTAACTAAATAACTAGCTTGAGCAGGGTTGTGACCAGGAGACTTCTTCCATCTCATAGCAGAAAAGCCACTGCGTACACCATGGCATTGTGTGTTGTGAAAAATTACAGATCAAAATGTTATATAGGTTTTAGATTTTATTGTAGTTATCATTCCTCCCTAAGACATTTAAAACATACATTTTGCCTAAAACGAGGTGCAGCCATCTTTGAAATTATGGGAGTATTACTTCTGGCACAGATATGCTACAAATCAGCATTTTATTATTATTATTTTTAATGTGCCTCAGTATTACATTAAAAATGTGTCTCACGTAAAAAAAAAAGGTATACAGTGATAAGTGTGTGTGTATAAAATGATAACTACCATGATGAAGTGGCATGAATACAAGGTGATTTGGAGCCATGTTGGTCCCACTCGAGACTAGTCGCTAGCTCATCAATCCAGTCAGAAATAAACTGCACTTTTCTAAACTGAGGCCATTTTATCAATTTTTTCCCCTTCATTTGAAAACATCAGATGCATATTTTTAATCCATGTAAACACTTAAAAACGGTGAACAAGATGAGATGTCTGCAACAAAATATGAGTCTTATTCAACTTTGTAATGTCAAGCTGTTATTGCAGCGGTGTGACTGACATTCAGCTGTCTATAAATGTAGGACAACATATTATTTTCATAACATAAACACATGGAGTCTCAGTGATAAATCTGTTAAAGCTGGTTTCAGCACCACGGCCAGTGCCAAGGGATGGCTGCTCATTATCAGCATATAAAAAAGCAATTTGTTTCAGCACAGCCTGCATGAAGTTACAAGCTTTTCCACCAAAGCTGCAGAGAAAATGTAAACACACGCACACCATCCATCTTATTTGCTTTGGAGTGTGTGTGGAGTGTGTTTATCTAACTCTTGCAACACTTGCTCCTTTTATAACCCGCAGATTTTTTTTGTCTCGACACTAAAGAGGGTTTGCTAACTAACCCTGAAAAATGCAGCTGCACACACGTAACGGCATGCTGAGTGTTTATCATTCCCTCCTCCAGGAAAACATTTAAGCAGGTTTTGTATCCCTCGTCTTTGCAACCTCCTCCGCTATTCCTTCTCCACCCCCTCAGCTTCTTCATAAAAGAAACGCGTCTGCTGTTAAAAAAGTAAAATAATAAATAATAAAAACTAAACAATAAATAAATAAATATCAGGAGTTGTTTTTGCAATGACTCTCTGAACACATTAAAGCAAGCCACATGAAACAACAATGTGAAAATTTCCCTCCATATGCAGATGGAATACTTTGGCTTAAAGCTGCTGAGTCTTGATGGAATGAAATTGGCGCGTGCATTGAAGTTTTATGGTTTTTTACAGAAAAGTGCAAGCTCCAATCAACTCTGCAATAAATCTGTGTGAAGTTAGTAAAGAAATAAGAAATTATACTAAGAAATAAGAAATTACACTATGTCCTGTTCTTCTGTTCAAGGAGTAAACTCCACTTTGCTCTCCAGTGCACCTCATCCCTGACCTTGTCCCAATATATTTGTCTCTTCTTATAAAACTGCAGTCATCAATTCCCACCACTGCATCCAAAGAGTGAGGCTGTCAGCTGCGCTCACTTCATGCTGCAGGTCCTGGAAAATGACCAGAGAGAAAATATGATCATGTCTTGGATGAAGGGCGGTAAACGTGTCATATAAATTCTGCCCTGTGTCGCCATGTGTCCGACTTATAATCATTGTGTAATAAACAACTGAAAGAAAAGCTCAGGCAATCATAGAGTTTCAAACTGCTGTGCCCTTTCTGTTTGCTCTGTGAGCACAACCTGTCACACGTGAATAAACTTGGGCATACTGCTGACGCACTGAGGTAAATGTCATGATTTATTCATTTTTACACAATCTGCTCACCTGCAGTACATAGTAACAAAGCTTTTTATAGGCCAATCTGCATCTTTACACATTTTTACATAAATCAATATACTGTAAAGGCATCTCCTTTTTGTGCCACTCTTATGTATTGGCATTAAATGATGGTCTAATTGCGCTTTAGAGCAAAAGTACTAAAGTGTCCTCATTTATTCGGCAGACAAGAGGAAACCACCAAGATGTGCCATCTCCTGTCCTTGAAACTTAATGGTGTGTACTGTATCTGCACTTAAACACCCATAGCTAATTACAGCATCAGAAGATATGTGGAGCTTGGCTCAGACAGGCAAGGTGTTGAGCCCTGATGTGCTGAGGCAAGCAGCACTGGCTGAAGGTAAAGGAGAGGCGATTCAATGAATTAAGGAGATGGAAGAGAGGAGGCATGGGAGCAATAGACAGTTGGCAGAGCACTCAACCCTAAAATGATGCTCTTAACTGGTACTGGATTAAAGAAAAGCATTTCTTGAATTTGTTTCAGTGCGGCAATTATAGTTGCTCATGTTACTAAAATATTTTTTGCTATATAATGACTTTGAATGCGTGCAAACAAGCTATGTTAAGCTAATGTTTGTTGTTTTTGTGCAGTTGCTTTGCCAAACCTTTTTTGTGTGGGCTTGTTCCTAGGAAAACGCAGCGCTGCAACCCAGATACGGAACTGTTAGCTATAAATTGTCTTTCTTATCCTCTGCTTAGTGAGTTCCACTGTGCTATTTTGGTAGCAGTGTGATTGTTTTAGCCTTTAGCTCCTGCTGACAGCGCATGTGATGCCCACAGCTCAGTTGAAGTCAGGCTATAAACACAATAGACATATAGACATTCATGGAGCTCTCAGGAGATTTCATGTTGCCTTCCTGATTCTGCTGAACTTCCAACACCCCAAATAGTCCACCACGCTAAATGAGAATATGAAATGTTGAACGTATTTTATATAAAGTGTAATGATGCAAACATCAACCTGTGGCTGAAAACAGGAGGTGATTACAAAAGGGGATGCTTCTAAGGCACATTGTCTGTGAAAGTCATCATAAACTTCTGAAAAAATGATTTCTTTTTAGACTTGAACTCCCCAAATTAGATACAAATTACAATAGGTAGAGGTGGTTGAATTCCTAAAGTCTTTAGTGCATGTGATTGTGAATTTTAAACTTTATTATTGACATGACGGTCTGTTCCCTTGTCTGTTTTCTTTGTATTTCCATGTCTTCAACTTTTCTGTTTTCTTGTATTTTGTCATTCGTAAGCTTTGTCTCTGTTCTTGTCATTTTCTCACTCACTCCTCAGTCAGCGCTCTCCAGCCTTTAATCATTCACACCTGTTCCTAATCCGCTACCTGCCAGGTGCACTCATCATCTCTCTCTCCCTCAGCCTTACTTAAACCTCTCCTCTTCACTACTCAAGCGTCCGGTCATTGTTCTGTTTTGCACAGACGACTCAGTCCTCCTCCGTTCTTATGATCTGTCTGTACCTG